ACCACTCCTTGGAAGGAAGACTGGGCAATCTACTCCCGTAGAGATACTGCCTCAGAATCCCAAGGGGGGATTGCTGTGAGTCAGAACCGACTCGACGGCAGTGAGTTTGGTTTTTCTTTTATATCATCTACTTATTGATGATATGTATATAGAGGTGATATGTAGAATGAACTGTATCTGTTTATCCATATGTAGCTAACATATTTATACATCATCAATATATAGATTATATTTTAAGAAAAAAAACACCTCACTGCCATCAAGTTGGTTCTGACTCATAGCAACCCCTCCTTGGGTTTCCGAGGTGGTATCTCTATGGAAGTAGATTGCCCAGTCTTCCTTCCCAGGAGTGGTTGGTGGGTAAGTAATATATATATAACCAGTAATAAAGAGGATGAACATGGAAAAAACACCCATAATGTGGAAGGTGAGATGAGTAAACAGGAAAGAAAAAAAAAATTAGGTAGGTCCATAAATGACTTCAAAAAGCATAGTAATTGAACCTAAAATGTGTATATAGATAGATAGGTAAAGATCTAAGTATAAAAAGTATAAACATATTTTACTTCATTATACCTCTTGGAAAATTTAGAATGATTTAATATGGCTACAAAAATACGGCATAAAAAAGTATTGGCAAAAGGGGAAATGAAATTAATATAAGAAAAAGAAACCCATTCATTTTTTCAGTGTTCATAGCCTTTTAAACTTCTTAGTATGTAAAATTTCAAACAAAAGTAGATTAATATAAAGACTCCTGCCATGTGTCCATCATCCAGCTTCAACAATGACAATTCTTGTCTAATCTTGTTTCATCTCTAATTCACCATACTTCTCCCCGTAAGCTGACTTGATCTTGAAGCTTGTAGTTGTTGGCTGACATTGCGTCGACTCCGACTCATGGCGACTCCATATCATATCAGTTCATCTATACATTTTTCAGTGTGTATTTCTAAAAGATTAACACTCTTTTTAAACTTATACTATATTAACATTATCACACCTAAAAAATTAATAATAATTCCTTAGTAGCATCTACTAATCAATGAGTGGTTAGATTTCTCTGACTACTTCCATTTTTTTAAGCTTTAAGATATGTTCAAGTTTTTTTGAAGTAGGCTCCAACTAGATTTTCTATATTGCAATTGGTTAGTATGTCTCAAGTCTCTTCATCTCTTGAGTTTCTCCTATCTTTTTCTATTTTCTTTGCTGAATAAATGGGTTATTTGTTACCTTAGTTTCCTAGGTCCTACTGTAACAGAAATAACATAAGTGAGTGGCTTTAAAAAACAGAAATTTATTTCTCACAGTTCTGGAGGCTAAAAATCCAAATCAGGGCCTTATCTATGTTGATTTCTTCTTTGTAAGTAGACTCCAGTGTTCCTTGGTTCCTAGACTTGTAGACTATCCTCACGTGGTATCTGTCCTCCACTGTGTATGTGTGTGGATCTGTATCTAACTCGAAAATAAGTTAAATTTATATCAGATTTTAATTCAAAGTAATTAGATTTATTTTTTATTTTTAACATAATAAAAACCCTATATCCAAACAGGTATGGGGGTTAGATTTCCAGCACATACTTTGAGGATAAAATTCAACCTCTAACACTTACTTGCAGAGTTTCCCACACTCTAGATTTTGTTCATTTAGCATATTCCTCTGTCTTTTCTACTTCCTATACGTGGTATTTGTCCTGGGAGCTGGCAGAGGAGAGGAATAAATGATTTCTTGAGTCTGAGGACCATACTCAGCATGCCCTTGCATGGCCACGTTCTAAGATGCATAACCAGACTCATTTAAAGGCTGCAGTGGAGGAAGGACTTAGAGCCTCTTCGGCCCAGTCTCCCCTCACCTATCCTGTAGCATCCCCAGAGGAATCTCTTTGAAATCTGTCACTCTGCTAAACATAGTTTAAAAGTCTCTGCTTAGATTCTCAATAAGGATTCTCATTCTGATGTTTGGTTTTACTCAGTAGCTGGGTAGATGGTAAAAGAGAGAATGGACGTGAATGTCTTTCAAAACAGGCCTATAAACCAGGGTCAGGGGTAGAGGGGTAAGACAGGTGACTCTGAAATCCCTGAAAAGGTGTGTGGGCTGCCAGGAGAAATCGGCACAAGCCTAAGCATTTAATGAGATTTTGCCTTACTAGAAGTGATTGTTGGTCTGCTTTTTTAAAATAAAAGATTGTGATCAATGTTTTCATCTATCAACAATACTTAGTAACATATATTATTCTAGGCATTTCATAGGATACCAGTTCTTAAACTCCCTACTTTCATGACCCCTTTACATTCATAAAAATTGTTGAGGATGCAAATCATTTTTAAAAAAGGACCAGGTTTGCTAGTCTGATAAAGCCTGATGGAACCACTGGGACTATGGCCCCTAGCTGCCCTTCAGGTCTGGAATTAATCCCACTCCTGTGGCTTCCAGCCAAACAAAAGACAGGCATTTGAGCTGAACATTTACATTAGGTAGATATATTCCTTGGAGAGATTAGTCACGGGAGAATAGAAGGGCTGTGTACGCACAGAGAGATGGCTGAGGGGGCAAGAGTGTATGGGAGGGAAGGACACAGGGAAAAGCTAACTATGGGGAAGAAGTAGGAGTGGAGCTATTGCATTGTGGGAAATTGTAGTCAGTGTCATGAGACAAAGTGTATGTGAGCTGCTGTGCGGAAAGTGAATTTGCTCTCTAAACTTTCATCCAAATCACAATTAAAAAAAAAAAATTGTTGAGGACTCAGAGCTTTTACTTACATGGGAATATCTATCAATACTTACCATATTAGAAATTTGTTTTTTAAAAAATAAATCCATTACATGTTAAGTAGCATATTTTTATGCAAAATAATTACGTTTTTTTTTTATTTAAATTAGTGACAAGAGTGGCGTTGTTTTACATTTTTGCAAATCTCTTTAATGTCTGGTTTAGTAAAAGATAGCTGGATTCTCATATCTGCCTCTCCTCAATCTGCTACAATATATGTTACTGTTGAAGCATACAAAGAAAATACAGCCTCACCTAGATACATAGTTAGAAAAGGGAGGAGCATTTGAAAAGCTTTTAGAGGTAACTGTGGATATTCATGGTGTTACACCAAAACTTGACAAGTGGTGGCTTCTTAAAGGTTAGTTGCAATGTGGGATCTAAAACCATATTAGTGAATTTTTTGAGCTCTGTGACATTAAAATTCTTTGGTCTAGTGCTTTAAGTGCTAGGTAGCACAAATGGTTTGTGATTAACCACCAGTCTAAAAGTTGGCTATTTGAACGCACCTAGCAACACTGCAAAAGAAAGGCCTTGTGATTTGCTTCCTTGAAGATTGCAACCAGGGAAACCCTATGGGGCAGTTCTACTGTGCAACACTTGGGATCACCCTGAGTTGGAATTGACTAGACCGCAAGGGTGTTTTATTTTATTTTTTTTGGAGGGGGGCGGTGCATGGGAAGAGATTTCTATCTTATACTTGGAATTGGGTCTTTTATCCATGCATGCTTTTGTAACTGCATAGATTGGTCATTTGTAAAATATTGGTTCACTGAGTTATGTACATCTTCCAAATACTGACACATTTCATTACATACTATGAAAAAATCACTTTTGTTAATATCACCACCAATCTCATCAGAAAAAGCCTTAGTATTGGGAAACAATCCCATCGTACTTTCAGTATTCTTCATCAACAGCATAATTCAAATGCATCCATTGTTCTTCAGTCTTCCCTATACATTGTCCAGCTGTCACGTGCTTATGAGGCAATTGACAATACCATGGGTTGGAACAGGCACACCTTAGTCTTCAAAGTGAGCTCTCTGCTTTTTAACACTTTAAAGAGGTCTTTTGCAGCAGATTTGCCCTATGCAAAATGTCACTTGATTTGTTGACTGCTGTTGCCATGGATATTGATTGTGGACCCAAGTAAAATGAAATCCTTGACAACGTCAATCTTTTTTCCATTTACCATGATGTTGTTTATTGGTCCATTTGTGAGAATTTTTGTTTTCTTTATGTTGAAATGTAATCCATACTGAAAGCTGTAGTCTTTGATATTCAGTAAATGCTTCAAGTCCTCTTCACTTTCAGCAAGCAAGGTTGTATCATCTGTATATCACAGGTTGTTAACGAATCTTCCTCCAATCCTGATGCTGTGTTCTTCTTCATATAGTCCAGCTTCTTGGATTATTTACTCAGCATTCGGACTGAATAGGTATGGTGAGAGGATACAACCCTAGAGCATATCCTTCCTGATTTTCAGCCATACAGTATCCCCTTGTTCTGTTCAAACAACTGCCTCTTGGTTTATGCACGGGTTCCACATTAGCACAATTAAGTGTTCTGGAATTCCCATTCTTTGTGATGTTATCCATAATTTCTTATGAACCACACAGTCGAATGCTCTTGCATAGTCAATAAAATACAGGTAAACATCTTTCTACACTTCTCTACTTTCAGCCATGATCCATCTGATTGTCCTTAATGATATCATTCAATTCATGTCTGAATCCAGCTTGAATTTCTGGCAGTCCTCTGTTATCATACTATTACAACCATTTTTGAATTTTGATTGATAGGTGGAGTCTATTATTTATATTATGAAATATTAATTTTAGAAAGAAAAATAATATACCAAGCAACACTCATAAAATGCCTTTACCATTAATCATATGACCTTTCCTAACAAGAGTTCAAAGAATTACTACCATAGAATTTCCTTCCCTAATCACATCATATGTCTAAAATAAATTGACTTAGAAATTTTAAAGATGTGTCCTCCTAGCCCAATTATTTTATTTATTATCAGGAGAACATTATTCATGGATATACTTCATGTGGCAATAGCCTTAATTACTAATTTTAAAATGTTGACAGATTGTTTTATGACCTCCTTTAGTGTTCTTCAATAACTATATGGAATTCTATAAAGAAGTAATAATAAATCCATGCTTTTATATAAATAATACTATAAAACTTTTAAAATTAAATTTTTCCTTCACAGGTTATATCGTCACTGAAATGCCTTCATTTTCACAGGAAGCCATAACTACTTTACAACAGTTAGAATTAATTAAAAACTTAAATTTGAAACCTGATATTATAATCAATATTAAGGTAAGGATATTAGTTGTTTGTCTAGTATAATAAAGCATTCTTTCTTATAGTAGATAAATTCAAAGAATGTTTTCAAGACTGTTAAGTAGTTATGGAAATAGTCAGTCCTTTCTGCATCAACCATAGGATCTGAGTTACACTTTCTCATTCCTCTGAGCTTTTGCATCTGCAGTGCTGAGCACATGATACATCCCCTCACCTCTCCACTAGGCTTAATTGTAGGTATCCTTTGAAAGTCAGTTCAGGAGCTCTGGTAGCATAGTGCCTAAGGCACTTGACTGCTAACCAGAAGGTTGGCAGTACAAACCCACCAGCCACTCCTTGGAAGGAAGTTCGGGCAATCTACTTCCGTAGTGATACTGCCTGGGAAACCCAAGGAGGGGTCCCTACGAGTCGGGTCTGACTCAATGGCACATAACAACAACAACACAACTGCCTTAACAACATACTACAAACTGGGTATTTTAAAGCAACAGAAATTTATTGTTTCACAGTTCTAGAGTCTAGAAGTCCTAATTGCGGGCGTTGACAGGGCCATCATTTCTTTGAAGGCTTTAGGGGAAGATCCTTCCCTGTCAATTCCAGCTTCTGGTAGCTCCAGGCACTCCTTAGTTTGAGGCAGCATAAATCGAATCTCTGCCTCTGTCTTCCTGTCAATCTTCTTTCTGGGTCTGTGTCTCCTCATTTTCTTATAAGGAGCCTAGTAATGTTGGATTAAAGACCATCTTACTCCAGTATAATCTCATATTAGTGTATCTAGAAGTGTTTCTTTAATGCTTTTTATTCATGGAAAGGTGTACTATATACTAACACTCATTGATATTAGATACAAACCCTACCTAAGTCTTTCAACTTATGTACAAATTCAATTTAAAGGCAGATTTAGGTACAAAACTTGTTTGTAATCTGGGGGCTGCTTGTATATAATACAGTGTTTGCATAATATCCAAATTACATAACATCCTATGTCACATACTATATTGTAAATGTTAAGAGATTCATGATTGTAGAATAGATGGACTGTTAAGTCCCATTCATGACTGGTATTTTATGAAGTACTTCACCCATAAAGGTACAAATGGTATTAACTACTATAAATACAGAATATATATTTATATTGGAAATATATAGTCTGTCATTTTCCTCCATCCTCAGCCTTTTTAAACTAATCTGACAGAAGCCTGTGTACCTTTCCAAACTAAACTGATTTTCTCTTCTATTTCTTAACTCTTTCTATCATTCTCTTAACCTTCTTTTTCATCATAAAAGTACTGACACTTTCTCACATATACTGATTTCAGATAAAGTATTGGCATAGCATAAAAATTGTGCCTCGTGCCTCTCTTGCCATGTACTGAAACTTGAAGCAAAATCACAGTATTATATTTACTCAAAGTTTTAAGGTGTTTTCTGGTATATGTGTTGTATTATATATAAATAGGAATTGAAAACATATTCATAATGTTGTCAGTGATTTAATAATTTTGTTCCTTAGTGCCCTGACTTTGATTTATGCCAAAGAATTTCTGGGCAAAGACAGCACAGTGGTACAGGGTACCTGTATTCAAAAGATCAGTGGGATCCTGAAGTCATTGAAAGTCGTAGAAAAAAGAAGAAAGAAGCCCAAAAAGAAGGAAAAGGAGAAGAGGAAGGGGAAGAGGAAGAAGAGCAAGAAGAAGAGGAGGTAATATTCCAATCAGTAAACTAACCCAAACCAAACCTGTTACCATAGAGTTGATTCCTACTCATAATGACCCTATAGGACAGAGTAAAAACTGCCGCATAGGGTTTCAAAGTCTGTAAATCTTTACAGAAGGAGATTGTCACACTGGTGAGTTTGAACTGGTCACCTTTTGGTTAGCAGCTGAACACTTAAGTTAGCAGCTTTGCTCCTTATCAGTTTACTATAGTTTTTAAAATTAGCTATAATTAAATTAAATGAAAGTATGGATAATGGGGAAAAAAGCAGAGACTATAGAAAATTACATTCCCTTTACATTTTTATTGAGTCTGTAAGAAATAAGCAAAAATATTTCATGTTTTCAAGAAATACTAGATTGTCATCTAGAGGTCATCAAGTTTAATCTCATCAGTATAGAAGTCCCTCTACATCCTGACAGCTAACCTGCTTCTGTTGATAGCAACCTAGGGCTATTGGTCGCCCACTTTGTGACAAGCACTCTGCAAGCTGAACTGAAGACTTAGAGCAAAAAAAGCCAAAGTGCAAGGTGCAGCTCTCTCACTCACATCCTTCCGGGTTCTGCACAAAAGTCACTTCTTCAAAGAAGCCTTTCAGGGCCACCGGATATAAATAGCACCTTCCCTCAGCTCTCTCCATCCCCTCTATCCTGCTTTAATTTTTCCCTAGCATTCACCACCACCTAACATATTGTGTATTTGGTTGTTTACTTGTTTATGCTCTGCCTTCCCCAACTGATCTCAAACTCCTAGGACAGTACCTACTCCCACCTCCTAGGACAGAACATGGTAGACAGTCAATAAATATTTGTTGAATGAATGAGCAAACTACAACCTCAGCTATTTGGAGAAAACCTCATTTCTTTATTTTGCCTCTGAAAATCTGATCTTCCTTCTTACCCTTCCTTACCTAATAGGCAACAGAAAAAAAGTGAGTACATGTCCCACACAATTTAAATCTTGATTCCATCTGATAAAGGCCCATTAGGAATGTTCAATCTCAAAATCTTTAGTCTCTAAGCTTCGGCCACCCCTTGCTTCTCACTCCAAAATGGCCTCCAGGTGTAAGGAGGGAGGGGGATATGGCTTGTAAATTCATAATCATTGACCTAAAGATATTTTAAATGTTTTCTTTTCCATTTAGGCATTTATTGCTGAAATGCAGATGGTGGCTGAAATTCTTCAACATCTAGTTCAGAGGCCTGAGGATTATTTGGAAAATATTGAAGACATTATTAAACTTTATAAGGAAATGATTCTTCATCCAATTGAAGTAAGAACAAGACATATTTCTGAATATGGGAATGTTGATATTTGTGTTTTATCACTGGTTAAATAGCTTCCACATTTTTTCATCTTCATATATTATCTGTCTGATATTCCTCTAGAGCTAGGTAGAAAGCTGTTAGAATAATGCTTTCATCTCAAAGGCTATTTCACAGAGCAATATGATTTTACTCTTACAAAACAGCTATGTTGCTGAAAAGTGATAAATGAACTGCATTTTTCAAAAGTCACTAGGGGAATTTATTTATGGATGGTGGCAGGGAAACTCATGTTAAAAGATTATTTTGTAAAAGCATTTTCAAGCCCTAATTCATAGTTTATCAAAACATATGCACACTTAAGGTGTACCTTTTGTTCTAAAAGGAATTGTTAACTTAATTAAATGGTAACCTAAACTGCTAACCAGAAGACTGGTGGTTTAAACCCACCAGATGCTCCTCAGAAGGAAGACTGAGCAGTCTGCTTCTGTAGTGATACCACCTCAGAAACCCAAGGAGGCGTCGCTATGAATCCAATCTGACTCAACGGCAGTGAGTTTGGTTTTTTGCTTTAAAGACTAATCATCCCCAGGTTGTTTTCTATGATTATCTCATTCAGGGCTGATTATATGTAAACATGATAAGACCCTTAGATATTATAATGAGAAACTTTTAATGAAAATAATTAGCATTTAAAATAGTATGATTATTACAATTACTATTACAATTACGTGACAGCTATATTTTACGCTGTCAAAAACCCAGGGGAAAATGGGCCCTCTGTAGTCAGTTGTGGTGCAGGTTTACAGCAAACATTTGTTGAACATTTGCTATATGGCCAGATACTGTGCTAAGAACTAGAACTATAAGCAAAGACAAATAAAAAACAGTCCTCAAGTTCTTCCTATCTGATAGAGAAATTAAAAGAATTTGTTTTATGCTGATTTAACAGTGTTTGTTTTGGTGAGCGGGGGTGCCTTTAAAAAACAGAAATTTATTTCCTCACAGCTTAGGAGGCTAGAAGTCCAAATTTAGGGTACCAGCTCTAGGGGAAGGCTCTCCCTGTCCACCCTGGAGGGAATTCTTGTCTTGGTTTCCTTAGGTCTTCTTGGTATTCCTTGAAGATCTCCAACTGGCCTCAATCTTTCTACTGCTTGCTTTAGCATGTGTATTTTTGACAGGGATGATTGGATAATTTTCATTCTTATTCAAATTAAATTGTTTTCTTATCTATGACTTTTCTTTTCTCCTCCCCTTCTTTTATGATGAGTGGATAATTTTCATCCTCATTAGCCACCCTCCAAAATTAAATTGTTTTCTTATCTATGACTTTTCTTTTCTCCTCCCCTTCTTTTATCATAGGCCTTAAAACACAGCTTCTTAAAAGTAAAGTACATGTCTACCAGTAACATCTTTTTCTCCTTCAACCAAAATATCTTTAAGTGGCTGGCTCTGGGTAGAAAGTAAAGCATAATTAGAATCTGATTCAGAAAATTAGATTCATGACAGGAAAAGGCAAAGGTAGTCTCTACAAAGACAGGGACCAGGTCCTACATCTTAGCATGGCAGAAGCCCAGTGTCTTCTGGGAAGTGGTAAGTGCTCCACAAATGTTCCACTAAATAACTGAAGAGATCACAAAGGAAAAGAACTATAGTTTCCATTTCATTAAATGTAAAACTTCTTGTTGTGTTGAGTGCTGTCAAGTCAGTGCCAACTCATAGTGACCTTATAGGACAGGTTAGAACTGCCCCATAGGGTTTCCAAGGCTGTAGTCTTTACTAGAGCAGATGGCCACATCTTTCTCCCGTGGACTGGCTGATAGACTCAAACTGCCAACCTTTTGGTTAATAGCCAAGTGCTTTAAGCACTGTGCCACCAGTGCTCCTGTAAAACATAAAGAAATTAAAAAAAAAAAAAAACTTACTCAATTTAAAAGACAAATAAGCTGGAAAAATATCCAGATTAAGTATGATAAAAGATTTACAGCTTTGATATATTTAAAGATCATTAATTGGATTTTTAAAAACCCATAACCCCACATGCTCATTAGGTAAATTGGCAACAAATATGAGCAGACAGTTCACAAAAATGAAAGATGAAAGGGTTAACAAGACTGTACAAAAATATTCAACCTCACTAATAATAAAGAAATGCTAATTTAAATACTGAAATATTATTTCCACTATCAAATTTTAGAAGATGAACAGATAGTAAGAATTCTTAATGGTATTAACTATTAATATTATTAATATTATAATATTATGTATAAATATGGTAGAGGAGCAGGGGACAGCCCCCAGGAGGCAAGGAGCAGCGGCAGACAGGGCTGGTGGCCAGAACAGGTAAGGAGGGCAGGGGACAGCCCCCAGGTGGCAGGGAGCAGCGGCAGACAGGGTCAGCAAGAACAGGTAGGGGGAAGCCCAGGAAGTGAGCGGAGCAGTTGGGACAGCTAAGGGAGGTGGACTTGTCAGTCAGCTTATTGTACGATGGTTGCTTGAGTATTGCTGTGAGGCTGGAGGCTATACCAGCAGTGCTGCCTGTGGTGGACTGATTTTAGTGGAGCTTCCAGACTGAGAAAGACTTGGAAGAAGGAAGAGGCCATCCACTTCTCAAAGAATTGGCCAGTGAAAACCTTATGAATAATAGTGAAACACTGTCTGATATATTACTGGAAAGTTTTATGAATAGCCCTGAAACATTATCTGATATAGTGCTGGAAGATGGGCTTCTCAGGTCTGAAGACACTCAAATATGACTGGAAAAGAGCTGTCCCATCAGAGTAGAGCCTACCTTAATAATAAAGATAAAGCAGAACTTTCAGGGCCACCATTTGCTGATGTGGCATGACTCACTATGAGAAGAAACAGTTGCAAATATCCATTGATAATCAGGACATGGAATATACCAAGTATGAATCTAGGAAAATTGGAATTTGTCAAAATTTAAATGAAACACATAAAGATTGATACCTAGGCATTAGTGAGCTGAAATGGACTGTTTTTGGCCATTCTGAATCAGATAACCATATGATCTACTATGCCGGGAATGACAAATTGAAGAGGAATGGTGTGGCATTCATCATCACAAAGAATGTTGCAAGATCTATCCTGAAGTACAATGCTGTCAGTGATAGAATAATATCCATACACCTACAAGGCAAGCCTGTTAATACTAGTATTATTCAAATTTACATACCAACCACCAAAGCCAAAGATGAGGAAATTGAAGGTTTATACCAACTTCTGCAGTCTGAAATTGACCAAACATGCAATCAAGATGTGCTGATTATCACTGCTGACTGGAATGCAAAAGTTGGAAACAAAAAGAATCACCGGTAGTTGGAAAATATGACCTTGGAGATAGAAATAATGCTGGAGATCGCATAATAGAGTTTTGCAAGACCAATGACTTACTCATCACAAATACCTTTTATCAACAACACAAATGGTGGCAATACATGTGGACATTGCCATATGGAGTACATAGGAATCAGATTGAGTACATCTGTGGCAAGAGGCGATGGAGAAGCTCAGTATCTTCAGCCAAAACAAGACCAGGAGCTGTGTGTGGAACAGACAGACCATTAACTGCTCATTTACAAGTTCAAGTTCAAGTTGAAAGAATTAAAACAAGTCCACAAAAGCCAAAATATGACCTTGATTATATCCCTCCTGAATTTAGAGACTATTTAAAGAATAGATTTGATGCATTGAACACCAATGACCAAAAACCAGAGGAATTGTGGGATGACATCAAGAACATCATCCATGAAGAAAGCAAAAGGTC